AGGGCACAGTGTCCTTGGCCTCCAGCTGGATGATCTGTCTTGTGTGTGTGTCAGGTCTCCACTTGGGCTTCAGACGTGATGGCTGTGAAGGCACTTGCCCAGTTCTGGAGCAGCAGAATGGAGGTGTCCACCCTACCGTGGCCTTTAACGGCATAGTCACGTTTCAGGGAGACTGAGCCACTCGGTGCCCAGGTTGAAAAGTGTTCAGTGAGTATTTAGTGCTCCCTATCTCCTTTTTTAAATCATAATTCACATCGTGGCCCTGTATGCTTATTGTGTGCTCTCTGATACTTCATTTCCTTCTGGGTGTCTCTGCTGCGCTTATCACCGACAGCTGAATTGCAGAGCTCTGAAAACCCTTTTCAGGATTGAGTTACAAGGTTAAGAGAATATTCTTATCAATAAAGTGACAAAACACCTTTCTGATTGAGACGATGCCAAGGGCAGATCCTGTTAGAGTGGGCTCTTCAGATCAGCAGATGAGGTCCCTGACTCATGCTCGTTGCTCAGCGTGTTTATACAGCAGGATTTGGTGTACTGGCTGTTCAGGTTGCACAGAGCTGCAGTAAGGTTTACATAATGATGCTACTTTTGTTGCTTAAAACTTTGACTAGTGTAAAATCCTGCAGAAACTCAAGTTTAAAGTTTTAAAATAAAACTTATGACAACCAAAGAAGCATTTCTCCCAAAGAGGTTGTGAGCTGCAGTAAGGTTTACATAATGATGCTACTTTTGTTGCTTGAAACTTTGACTAGTGTAAAATCCTGCAGAAACTCAAGTTTAAAGTTTAAAAATAAAACTTATTACAACCAAAGAAGCATTTCTCCCAAAGTAAGAGGTTGTTAGTATTTTTTTGCCTTCATCCTCGCAGCCTCCTTGGCCTGAGAGAACAAAATGGTGCTCCTAGAAGCTGTTTTGGAGAAAGCCTTCAGCAAATATTCTTTGCATATGCCCTTTTGTAAATTAAACTAGCAAATTTCCATATGCATGTACGTGTATGAAAATGTCACTGATCTTTTAATCCAAACTGTTTTTTAGTGCAGGGCTCGTGCTCTGAGCTTGCCAAGTAATGGGGGTTGTGCAGCCACCAGACACAGCAGTGAAGCAGGAGCTGGCCCATGGGGACAGACAGAAGGGGAGGACAATGATCTCCTTGGAGCCCCAAGGATTTCAGGGGTGCAGAACAGTACATCAGCTACAGCAATGCAGCTGGTTTCTCTTGAGCTTTGTCTGCTTCTTCCTTCAGGGCAGACTGGAGCTGGGATGGTTTTCTGAGTGCCAACTGAACTTCCAGCTGAACGGGCATCTGTCTGAGGCTGAATCCTGCAGCCTTGCCAGTGGTGTGGTCTGCAGGGGGGCAGGAGCCAGCTGAAAGTCCCTGGGGGCCTCCTGGGCATCTCCTTCTATAAACCATGCAAACAAAGAGTGATGGCAGAGAAGCTGGCTTGGTGGGCAGCAAGGCTGTGGGCAGTCAGCAGGGCTCGTGTGAGGGAAGTCAGCAGCCATGGGAAATTCCAGTGTAAATGTAACAGAAAACCTAGAAATGAGGCTTTTTGTATCTGCACCGTGGGGCTTAAGCAGTCAAACAACTACCAGAGGCTGCTTGTTGGCTCAGGATGTTTTAATTTTAGCCACTGGGTCGGAGTTTGAGAGGAGAGCTCCCTGCAGGTCCTCTCCTGGCAGTGAGGTGAGGGAGTGGGCTGTTGGCCTTTCACCCCCAGCTGCCTTTTTATCATGCTTATTGTCTCCTCAAGGAGCAGCCTGTGTTCTCTTAAGCTAATGTCAATATTTCAATGCAAGGCAGAGTACAGCTGACCCCAGCAAAATCACACTTCATTGCCTCAGTCAGAAGATAAGTGGCTGTGTGCCCTTTTCCTGCTTTGAAATGATTGCTTTGGTTTGATTGAATTTCCCTCACTGCTTTGGTCTGAGCAAGTTTTTGAAGTGAACCCTAGTGCTGTGTAGACTGGAGGAGCTTCCTTTTCTCTCTCATCCCTCAAGATCCTTTTCTAGAGGAAAAATCAGAAAGGATTGATGGAATCAGGTTTCTCTATAAGTTATTCACCAGTTCTTATACTGAAAAAAAAATAATCATCTGACTTTCAAAACAGTTGGGAGGGTTCCTGCTAGGTGTGAAAGAGAAACTTCTCTTGGAGGTGTGTGATTCTGGGTTGTTTCAAGCTTTCCAGACTGGAGAATGGGAGGATCAGCCCTTTGGGCAGGTGGGAAAGGTGGATTTCCTGTGACTTAACCTGGCCTTAGAAAGCCACAAAGGTCAAGATGGATATCACTGTCTCATCCCTGCTTTCCTTCAGGCAACATCACCTTGACCCAGTCAAAGGGATGTGGTGGTGATGGTGGAGTCCCCATCCCTAGAGGTGTTCAAAAAACATGCAGACGTGGCACTTGGGGACAGGGTTTAATGGTGATGGGGGTGTTGGGTGGTGGTTGGACTTGATGACCTCAGAGCTCTATTCCAACCTTAATGATTCTATTCCATAAAGCCCAAGAGACGTTTGTTCAGCTTGTTCTTTACAGGAAGATGGAGCCCACAGCTCATCCCTTCCAGATGATGTGGTTTTGGCTGTAGCAGATGATGGTGTGCAGCTCGTGCCTGAGCTGAGCAGTGTGTTGTCAGGCTGCTGCTGGAGGCGGGGGGAGGAGGGAGCCTCTGCTTCCTGCCAGGCAGTTCTTGTTCCTCTGGGGGGTTCCCATCCCACACTGCCAGCACCTCTGATGTCTTCTTCTCTGCTGCTCGGCTCCTCGGGAGCGCTGTGATGTTCTCCTGTGGCTCTGGAGATGGCACTGGCAGTCTGAGAGATCAGACAACCTGCAGACCCAAGTGAATGGCCACTTTTCCTTCTCCTGCTGCTGCAAACACCAAGCCCAGCTTCCCTCCCAGCACCTTGCTTGCCACATCCAGCATCTCCCACCGTGGCTGTGCTTGTAAGGGCTGGATGCCCTCCCTCTTCCCCTTGGTCACCTCGCCTCCATCCTTTCCTCTCTCCTGACCCATTTTGACTTTCTCTTCTTTGTGTGCATGTCCTCTGTGTGTGTATAGATCTGTGGGTTTAATCCTGGATGCAGTTTTTGCCCTGCTCTCTGCACCCAGCTATGCCCCGTGCCCCTCACTACTGCCACCCCAGCTGCTCTGCTCCCTTGGGCAGCCCTGCAACCCAGGAGGCACCATGAC